TGATATCAGACTTCAAATGTTCAATATATGCATGCAGGTTCATTATAAAAAATATACATATATAAGCAGCTCTTAATCAGAGAATAAAATTAAACAGAAAGAATGAGATTATAAAGAAAATGTGATCTCAATAAGCAACCGAAAGATACAGTAGAATAAATTTCAAAAAGTTATATAGGAGACATAGTATAATGGTAACAGGTCTCCTGACACTTTCTGGACAGCAGCAAAGAAAAACCAAAACAAAATTCAACATGCTGTTGCCAAAATCCCCAAAATTGAGATAAATGAAGAAGAGATACCATTGGTGTTAAAATTATACAGTCAAAAGTCTTTAATCCGGACTTGTCGGGACTTCAGCGATTCTGGATTATAGATCATCAGTTTAAATCTGGTAAGATGGCATGCAGAAATTAAAAATATGAAACTGTAATTTATGAAATAAAGAGCAATTATGATCTAAAGGATAGCAAAATTTACAAAAAAAAGCTTAATATTTATTTGTTTACTTTATTAAACATTTCTTTCAACTCGCACATGCGTAAAGCATACATTACGCATAGTCAAAATTAGAAAATTGCAACCAGAAAACTATTTGATTTGTATTCGTGATATTTATAATGACAAGGAATTTGATTTAAATCATATCAAAGACAGAGTACATCGAGATAAAATACTGCATTATAAGTCGAATAAAAAAAAAGCATCTGCCCTGAAGATAAGGATAGTGCTGACAGATCAACTTCCAGTTCATTGCGCCCCGCTACGTCCCCTCCCCTCACACAGAGCAGCGTGAAATTTATAAACAGATTTCGGAATGGTTAGAGAAACAAAGGAGCCTTCATCTATTTTTTGCAGCAATTCCACTTTTTGTTTGATGAACATCGAAACATGTTTTCCCTTTGTAGATCCAGCATCGGAAATTCTATTTGATATAATCGAGAGTTCCAACTTACTTTTATAAAATTGCTCTAACAGTCTGCAAAAAATAGTAAGCTGGTTCCAATTCGAAGACTAAGGGAAAATGCAATCTGCAACATTAACTGAAATAGATAATTAGATAATTTTAGGGTTAATCTTCGGATTATGGTAACTTGGCGAAACTTTGGCGACCAACCCTGCTACAGCAACCTGCTAGTTTTGTTTTGGATGCCATTTTGTTTTCACAAAGTAAAGGCATGTTTTTTTTTTTTACTCAACATTTTTTCCAACAATCTGCTAGCCGAATTACGCTTATACGAAAACTTTTATGGAACAAAAATGCTTAATGATGACGAATATTAGGTACGAAATTGGGAGAAAGTGCAGAATCGCAAACTGCTTGCCGCATTTTTAAGAATTGCACATATACGGTATCCATGTACATGCCGACCTATTTTCACTCAAAAAACCATCCCAGAATTGCACAAAAATGGCATTAAGCACACTCTTGACTTACACTGCTAAACTCCATGTACACTGCTAAAGTCCTAGCTAGTAACCTTTATTGCCTTACCAAAATGTTGCCAAACTACGTAGCTGTTACCATATTCCAAAGATTAGCCAATTTTAGCTTAGCTTATACTGTCCGTTATACATTAAACGCGCATGTGTAAATGTATTATGTGCATGCATACACACATATGTGCATCCGTAGACGCATATGCGCATGGGTAAAGGTATTACGAGCATTGCGTTGACGCATGCGCAGAAAGTTTGTAGCTTTGATGTCCGGATTATGGGTGTCTGGATTAGCGTCTTTTGACTGTATTATCATTCTACGGTGTTGTCATTCATTCTACAGTGTATTTTTCGATTGTAAGTTGAAAATGTATTGATACTCACCTTCATTGTATCTTCAGCTCATTTTCAACTACAGTCAAAAGTCGTTAATTCGGACACCCATAATCCGGAATGATCTATAATCCGGACCTCAAAGCTACAAACTTTCTGCGCATGCGCACAGGCGTTTACGAGAGCGCATAAGACCCTTACAGCTGCGATATGTTTGTGCGCATGCGCGTTTAATGTGTAACGGAGTTATACGCTAAGCTAAAGTTATCTAATTCAGTTAATGTTGCAGATTGCGTTGTTCCTTAATCTTCGAATTGGATCCGGCTTATTATTTTTTGCAGACTGTTAGAGCAATTTTATAAAAGTAAGCTTGAACTTTCGATTATGTCAAATAGAATTTCCGATATATATTTACTACAAAGCGGAAAGTATGTTTTGAAATCCGAAATCTGTTTATCAATTTCACGCTGCTCTGCGGCAGAGGGGGGGGCAAGAAACGTCATTATTAGATTATGATAGATTAGAAAGATTATGTCAAATAGAATTTCTGATATATATTTACTAATATGTAATTTGATCTACAAAGCGAAAGTATGTTTTGAAATCCGAAATCTGTTTATCAATTTCACGCTGTGGATTGGAAGTTGATCTGTCAGCACTATCATTATCTTCAGAGCAGATGTTTTTATTTTATTTGGCTTATAATTCCTTACTAATGTAGTATTTCATCTCGATATACTCCGTCTTTGATATGATTTAAATCAAGTTCCTCGTCATTATAATTCGCTTCCGATAGTGAAGAAAGTGACCCAGAGGTTATTGAAAACGAAAAACATTTCGATTGACAAATTAGTCGGTATTCTCAACACAGCAATTTATAGGACTTGAACAGCGGAACTTTGTAACTGAACAAGAAATTATGTCTGTTTAATAGAATTAAAGAGAAAGTATTATCACATGAAACGAAGCAACTTACATTGAAGGAAATGTTTAATAAAGTAAACAAATAAATATTAAGCTTTTTCTTTTTGTAAATTTTGATACCCTTTAGATCATAATTGTTCTTTATTTCATAAATTACGGTTTCATATTTTTAATTTTGTAATTTCTGCATGCCATCTTACCAGATTTAAACTGATGATCTATAATCCGGAAAAATCGATAATCCGGAATCGCCGAAGTCCCAACGAGTCCGGATTAACGACTTTTGACTGTAGTATCATATTACTGTATCATGGCTAGAAAAATTTTCCACTCTTCTCCAAATTCATTTCTTAGCTTGACAACCTATAGGCAATAGTGTAGACAATAAAATATTGGGTACTATTCGGTTTCGAGGGCCGTAAAAAAATTGCAGCGAAAATATACGCGCAAAAGCGCCAAATCTAGCAAATGCGCCCATTTAACAGCGCGCCAAATCTAGCGTATGAGCTGATTTCAGATTGCGTAAGTTTATATAATTCTATATTTCTTAAGACGCCATTGAAATACTAGTTGAATTTTTAAATCCTTTTTTGATATCCTATGGATTTAACAATTTGGGAATTGTCCGTGACGAAAACTCGGCAAAGGAATTTTGGGTAACGTGCAGAATCACCCATTGCTTGACGCGTTTTTAAGAATTGCACATGCTCGGTATCCATGTGCATATCGACCTATTTTCACTTAAAAAAAAATCCTAGAATTGCACAAAAAATGGCACTGCGCACACCCTTGACTTTATCTATGTACACATCCACCTATTTTAACTTAAAAAGTAAAAGAAAATTGACAAAAATCCAATTGTTTTTACCCTTTTAAAAAGCGACAAACAAATAAGTGGGCGATTTTGAACTTTACCGAGAATATTTTCAAAGAAAAGGCATCATTCATTATAGAAAATTACGTTTGAACAACCAACGAGATGAAATTATGCTTTAGAGATATGTCAGTAGCAAAATAGCGATGCAGGCATCCATTCAGTTATGTTTAGTAATTTTTATATAAAGTATAATAATGATCTGAAATAGTTATTGACTCTTATGCTTCCATTCAGTCATATATAGCCTTTTTCATATAAATTATAATAATAAAAATGTGTTATATGAATTAACCTTTCATCTAAAAACATCAATCTTAGATAGTTATTTACTATTATACTTCCTTTCTTGCCGCAATTATTAGGGTTGCCGCAAATATTTAGGGTTGCCGCAATTATTTTTGGCAGCATTGGCATCAACAATAGTTTGGCGATTTTTTACGGCCCTCGAAACCGAATAGAACCAAATATTGTTTTGTAAAATTGATCATCTTGAACAGTAGTACAGTATATTACATTAACAGTACATTTGTAGATGATATGCTATAGGAATTCACATTTGCATAGCTGTGGATTGCATATTGCAGTTTTTGTTGTGTTTGTTGAAATCGGACTCTTAGCTATCTGCGTGCATAGAACATAATGCAACTTCCTTAATTCCTTAATCCTCCAAAAATTACGGTTCTGGCCCTGAAAACCGTATGTTCCCTAAACTTTTACAAATATATGATGTTTTATTTATTAATTATAATTCCAAAATAACCCACGTACTTTGTTTCCTGACCGTTTTCTTCCAAATATGCATCCAACCCAAAATCAGATCCATCAGGAGTTTGCAGAAATTTTGATGAGCAAGGAATTGGAAAGCCGTCCTCCCGTTCGGAATTTTACACCCATAATCTTTGAAGGATTAAAAGCATCTAGTGGCTGTTTTTTGTTAAGTATGTGCAATTCTCCAAATTATTATTATTATTTTGATAAAACAGTTCCCTGTCTATATAGTAGTGCAAAAAACTGATAATTGTGCATGTATTGTATGAAAATAGAAGAATATACAAAAATAGGTAGCACGAATAGTTTTCTCAAAAGTACACAACGAATTTGTGATCTTACGGTACAATTGAAGATAATCAGAAAGTGTCATATTTTTCAGTTATTCATATCTGTTATCGAGTTATTTGCAAACTGGTATGTTAGCTGAACCTCAAACAGATTTGCTAAAAACTCTTGGCGTAGAAATGGAAATATACCGTAAATCCTGGAGTTGCAGTCTTCAAAAGCATGTCTGATTTAAATACTTAATTTATATTGCCATTTTCTGTTGTTTTATTTCTTAAGTTCTTGTTCTAACTTATATGACATTATTTTTTGACATGATTATATAATTAAGTAAAGTTTTTTTTTATAAGATAATCTCATTCTTTTCTAGAAATGTCCCAAGTGTACTGAGGTGCTAGATGTTGAAGAAATCAATTTCTTTCCCTGTGAATGTTACTATCAGGTATTTTTTATTTTTTAAAATCAAGTGGATAGTAGAATTTTAATAATTTTTAGGCCCCAGGACCAAGGGTTGTATCAGGGTTGCCACAGTACTTGGGAAACCAGGAAAAGTCAGGGAATTTCATCCTGCAGTCCCCCAAAAAGCGATTTTTGCTCCATCATCGGAAGCAATCACTTTCTTAGGACAAATTGTGTGAGCATCATTTGGACAGTATGTATAAAGGCAATTTTTGCAGCACCTATCAGATTGTTTTTTAGAAAGGCAAAGCAAGTTTCCAGCTTCTTTGGTTTGTAGTAATTTTGAGAATCCAGAGATTCACATGCTCAGCACAGTGCATGTTGAACGAAAGTAAATTCCCCCCCCCCCTCTCATATAGGCATTTTGCAGTATAATAAAAAAAATAATAATCAATCATCTAGGCTAACAATTTAATATATCTATAATCGCCAAAATGCTGTTGATTTTTTAAATTCAGTTTTTAATCCTGAAGTAATTAACTTTATTTTATTGTTATTGGTATAATTTAATGTGCCTTTCTTTAAAATTTATTTATTATTAGTTAATAATACTTTGAAATTTCAGGCAATTTTCTCTGGCTTACTTGTGAAACTAATTCTAGCAGTAATATGACATACCATCACAAAATTTAGTGCACATTTTTTTTTATTTATTAGAATCCGATCGGGCAGATTCTAATCATCTCAATTCTGAGTGCAGAGAACAACTCTTATTATAGTTATAAAGGTCATGCTTTAGGGATGTAAAGTCATATGAAATGGGCAAATTTTTGTGTTTTCAAGTGGTGCCGTAATTAATTTACCCTCAGCACAGCCAACATGCACTATGCAAATAACCTGGAATTTTCTTAAAACGTACCTGGAAACCTTGAAAAATCAGGGAATTTAATTCTCCTGTTTGAGTGGCAACCGTGTTGTATTACAATGTCTTTCTAATATTTACATTAAATCTTGATTGTTTGTATATAGGTAACTAAACTATTATGATTTTTTTAATATTCTCACCAAAAAAAAAAATATATCAGAGCAAGGGAAGAATGCATTGAAGCGGTAAAATTTCTTGAGGAGATAAAGAACTTTCTTTTTTAAAATGCACCAATGTATTTTATGTTTAAAAAAATATTGTATACCCACTACATAAATTACTTTCAAAGTAATCTTTATGCTCTTAAACAAGAGAGGGAAAAATATTTTGTTTACAAAGCCCTTCACCCCCCCCCACACACACACAATAAGGATGTCCCAAAATTTAATTCCTACATTAATGCTGCCGTTATGTTCTGTATATGTGCAAATAGATTAATGATTCTGCAGGAAATGCTAAAAATAAGATGTTGGGTTTTCTAGAAGAAAATTTCTATACATAAAGTCGCTCTTTTTTACTTCCTTGAATGAAGTAAAGTAAGTATTGTAATTGTGAAAAATTCCAGTTATCATATTTCAACAAAAATATCCATTTTGATCACAATCGAGTGCAATTTAACAATGTTTTTTTGCGACATCTGTACATAAGGATAGAATAAATGACTCTTTATCTCCAAACAGATTATAAAATTGATTTAAAATGAATTTTGAAGGCATTTGTTGTGATTGCTCTACTTACATGTGTATGTATCTTGTGTAACTCAAAAACAAGTTGCTTCCGAACATTGAAATTTTGTATATAGGACTGCTATAACATGTAGTTGTGCTGATTGAAATCAGCTGCGCCAAAAGTATAAATATATATGTACCCACACTGTTACTTGTCTGTGTAAGCTATTTTTTATTCTTATGTTGGTAAATTATGTATTTTTTGCTTTAAAAAGAATTGGATTACGGTAACTTGGCGATTTTTTTGCGAAACTTTGGCGACCAACCCTGCTACAGCAACCTGCTAGTTTTTGTTTGGACGCCATTTTGTTTTCACGAAGTAAAGGCCTTTTTTTTTTTTTTTACTCAACATTTCCAACATTTTTTTCCCACAATTTGCTAGCCGAATTACGCTTATGCTAGAAATTTTATGAAACAAAAGTGCTTAATCATGACGAAGATTAGGTGCGAAATTGGGACAAAGTGCAGAATCGGCCACTGTTTGCCGCGTGTTTATGAATTGCACATACACGGTGTCATCCATGTACACGTCGACCTATTTTCACTTAAAAAATCATCCCAGAATTGCACAAAAGTGGCATTGCACACACTCTTGACTATATCAATGTACACTGCTAAAGTCCTAGCTAGTAACCTTTATCGCCTTACCAAAATGTCGCCAAACTACCTGTTACCATATTCCAAAGATTAGCCGAATTATGTTATTCTTATTATGTTGTTCTTAAGGTTTTTATACCTTTAGTTAATGTGCATATAATGGTGGTAGGATTGTCAATTATTTAAAGGTTGTTTAAGTGTGGCTAAGCCTAATTTTTGTTTATCATACCAGCCACATTTGTTTACATTTGAAACTTGGCAGAATATTGAATTAATTCAGTTTCTGCATCTTCGATGTTTTTCTGCCGAGTGGGACCAAAAGTAAACTTTGCACACTGAAAAATCTGCCTTGTTGCCTGCCGCTGACCAGATTGCTTGCTTTTGCATAGAAAGTCTGATTTTAATTGTAAAAATTGTTCGTTAATTGTTTTAGCTGCATTTGGTATTTTATTTTTTTTTCTATATTTTTCAATTTTTCAAATATATAATTTTTAGGCTTAATGCATTTGTCCTTGACCTCAAAGTGAGAACTGAATTAATTGACTGAGGAAATCTATCTCTAATGAAATTCAAGGAAATAAATTTAAATGAGATGCAGCAAAAAATTCACATAATTTTAATGTTCTATACAAAGGAGTCATGGTTTTCGCATCAGAGTTTTTTATTTATCATGTTTTCTATTCCTAATCCCAGGAAATATATAGTACTATTTTAAGCAATTGTTCTCTATTTGCTGCTACATAAATAGTGTCACCCATTGTTCAGTATGTAAATAAACGACCTATGACATGTACTTAGGTTTAAATATAACACATGAAATGTTGTGAGCAAGTAAATTCTTGATGCATGCCACATAATTGTAAAATCAATTAATCACATTGGAATTAATATTAAATCAGAATATGAATCTAAAATGAGGATTTATGTAAAGGAAACAAATTTGCTGAGATTCACAACTCGTGTTTACTATAAAAAAAAAGAGTTCTAACATAGGCACAACAAATGCTATTTAGTTTTAATAATAAATAAATTCGTTTTGTCCAGCAGAATGTGTTACAGTCAAAAGTCTTTAATCCGGACCTCAAAGCTGGGGCGCAATGAACTAGAAGTTGATCTGTCAGCACTATCCTTATCTTCAGGGCAGATGTTTTTATTTTATTCGACTTGTAATTTCTTACTAAATGTAGTATTTCATCTCGATGTACTATGTCTTTGATATGATTTAAATCAAATTCCTCATCATTATAAATATCACAAATATGCGTGGAAAGAAATGTTTAATTAAAGTAAAAATATAAATATTAAGCATTTTTTTGGTAAATTTTGATACTTTTTAGATCATAATTGCTCTTTATTTCATAAATTATGGTTTCATATTTTTAATTTTATAATTTCTGCATGCCATCTTACCAGATTTAAACTGAAGATCTATAATACGGAAAAACCGATAATCCGGAATCGCCGAAGTCCCAACGAGTCCAAATTAAAGACTTTTGACTGTATAAGTTTTTTTTATTAAAAATTTTACTTTCATATACATATAAGAACAAAAATTTGCCATGCTGAATTTTCTGAAATTTGACATTTTGTTTGCATTCAGAAACGAATGTAGATTACAGGTAATCCTTTTAGAGGAAAATATGGTTGTGGATTAGAATATTACTGTATTTGTATAATAATTTAGAGTGAAAATTTTTCTTATACTTGTAACATACAAAGCTATAAAAAGGCGGTTCTTCCCCCAGTACTTTCTGAATATCTGCATCTATATGTAAGTCAAGATATTTTATCTTTTATTTTCTGTAATGAGTGTAAACTTCTGTTAAACTGTTTCTAGGGGTGAGAGACCATATAAAATGTTACATTTGGTAATTTTTACAGTGATTTTTTAAAGTTAAAAATGGCTGAACATGAATATTTGTATCATTTAAAACATTTTGTAATTTGAAATAACTTAGTTAGAAAAAATTCTAACTTTTAATTGACCCTGTTACAATATTAGATTTTATATTTAGTATTCTTAAAAGTTACTTATACCACATTTTAGCTCTGTTTAATGAAATTTTTTTTTTTTTTTTTTTTTTTTTTTTTTTTTGTTGTTGTTGTTTGTTTGTTTGTTTCATGTAGCTATGTCTTTTTTGTTGGAATGAACTTAAATCAGGTGATAGGAGGTGTCCAAACTGTCATAAGGTAAGAATATTCTGCTTCTGTCCATGCATTGTTAAACATGTTGCTGTCTCCTTTTTTAATTTTTTTATTAGGTTAAAATACAATTTGTATTTTGTAATTAAGTAGAATTACAGCCTATTCCTTTTCCCCCACAAACTCATCCATCAGCATTGATAAAATTTTTTATATGAAAATAATTTTCTAATTAAATAGTATTACTCTTTTTCCCCCCTCAAACTGCATGTTGAGCTATGCCGTTGGGCAGTTTTATATTATGTAACATATTGATCACAGACAAGGTTCCTACTCAACTTTGAAAATCAAGAGACATTATTGAAAACATAGCTTTTTAAATATTTTGTGGCATGCTGTTGAATTGAATTTTTTAGTTTAAGTGCAAAGAATGTGATAGTTAATAAATAAAGGTAACACATAAAACAATAAAAGTGCTGCTTTTGGATGTAATATAATGTCTGAAAGCTTTCAGTTTTTTTCTTTTAAATTCTTCCGAAATGTGTTTTGAGGGTAAGGGTTCAACTGATTACAATTTTCATTAGTAACCTTTAAGAGAAAATGAAGCTATTGCATTCTTCCGAAGAAACGAGGGAGGATTATGGTCTGAATATAGCCGGAATTCATGATTTTTTTCATTTACAAATCGAATTTCTGGATTTATGAATTATAGTCTCCTTATCATTCTCAATAATTTTAGAGCAAATATAAGAGTTAGATAGTATAAAAATTTATAGACTATAAATTGTTTAAAGCCTGTTTTCATATACTGTGTAAAGCTCGGTGAGAGATCAAACTTCTTGTATGAGCATACTGAGTTTGCACAGTAGGAAATTTATATACAGGAGAGGTATAAAAAAAAGGTACTATGAAGTTTCAACTGTAATATTCTGGTTTCAAGAATAGGAAATACTCACTGTTAATAAAACTTGATTAAATCTGTTTTAAGTTGCTTACATGGAACTTTGATTGAAAGTTCATTTATTTATATGACTGATATTATAGCAGAGTGTAGAACATCACTGAACGATGAAAGCCTAGCTGCTATACGCAGTTTGAAATATTATTTATTTTCATTATGTTGCAAAGTACTTGTGTGCACCTTTTGGGTCAAAAAATCCTTCTGGTAAAGTTTTTAAGGATAATTTGTTGAATAGATGGACAGCTTGCCCCAATTCTTTATACTTAAACCATTCTTTTCCTTCTAGCAGTTTCTCATCTCCAACACTTATTGCTATGTATATTTTAAGTTGTAAGTGAAAAGCCGATGTCTGCATCAAAATGTTTTGTTGATGATACCGAGCTTTCAGTTGTCAGCAAAGAAAAAAAGAAATGCAAGTAGTTCCCCAAAACTGAATCTCTCCTGTCCCTTCCCCCAAGAAACAGCATGCAATTATTTTTTTAAGTGCTAAGAGATCATATAGTAAAACATAACTTAATTTTAAATCAATTTGAAAAAAAATTATACTTCTTTCTTAACTCAAATTGTTTGAAAATATGTGTGTATGCTTATACATATGTATTTCACTTTAATTTCTGAATTATTTGAAATTATGTAGGATTTTTTTATTCATGGTCATTTTCAGGATTTTTGAAATGGGGGTGCAAATTATGTGTGGTGATATTTTACCTTTCACCCAATTTACAAAAGGGAATAAATGCAATTTTTTTATCAGTAGGTATTTGTATTTTTGAAAATTATTTTTTCCCCCATTTCTTTTAAAATGTTATTACTATGCACAATTTCTGTGACAATTTTATTATTTAAAAGCCCTTTTTTGGGGGGATGATGGTCAAAAGCATCTAAACTTAATGACATTTATTTTTTCTTTGGCACATTGGTTGTTGGCAAAACAAAGAAATATCCTTAAGCTTTATTATAAAATATCATAGAAATGATATATACCACTATATGTATGAATTTATTATGAAGGATGGGCTGTTGTAAATTTCTTTAGCAAATGAATATTTTTTTTTTTTTTTTTCCTCCAGAATTTGACATTTCTTTTTAAAATCTCTACCTGCTTTACTAAAAGGTTTAGATTAGTATTTCTCAACCTATGGTATATGCACCCCCATGGATAATGGAAATAGTCTCAGGGTAAAAAAGATGTAATGGTAGCATTACATCTTTTTTTTACATCTTTTAATTACATCTTTTTTGCTGGATTGATTGAATGCTAGAGAAAAAGTAAAAAATTGTTGTAACAACTGGTATTTCCAATCCAAATTATATTTCATTACAAAAATTAAAAAACATTAAATTCAATCTGAAATAATTTTAATTCAGAAAGATACTTACAGTTTAAGTGTATATTTTATCTGTAGAATCGGTACCTTTTGAAAGAGATAGGACAACTGTTTCGATGCACAGTACAGTCAAAAGTCGTTAATTCGGACACTCATAATCCGGACCTCAAAGCTAAAAACTTTCTGCACATGCGCCGCGTACGCGTAAGACCTTGACTACTGCTCATATGTGTGTGCGCAAGTGCAGAACACGTTTTCGCCGGCGCGTTTAATGTATAACGGACGGTGTAAGCTAAAATTATCTAATTATCTATTTCAGTTAATGTTAATGATTGCGTTGTTCCTTAATCTTCGAATTGGATTCCCCTTATTATTTTTTGCAGACTGTAAGAGCAATTTTATAAAAGTAAACTTGAACTTTCGATTATGTCAAATAGAATTTCCGATGCTGGAACTTCCGAAGGATCTATAAAACGAAAGTATGTTTCGATGTCGATGATGAAAGTATGTTCGATGAGTTGATAGTCGGGATGATAAAAGCAAAAAGTAATCCAAAAAAATTGCTAGGTTAGAGTAAATGTTATGTAATTTTATGTAACAGTAGGTATATTTTATGATTCAGTTACAACCCACTCTTTCTGGAAATGCATCTATCATTAGACTGTTTACTTTGTTTCATTAAAATTTGACTAATTTTGCAGGTTTATCCAGACAATCCAGTAAATTTCAAGCCTATGACACAAGAACAGTAAGTGCTAAAATTATCATCATGTTGTTTTTAAAGAGTAATATACGTTTATTATATTTTATTTAATATTAGATATACTTTTTATATAACTGTCACTTAAAAGGGATTGTGCCTTAGAATCAAGGTGTCTTGTCTTATAACTGCAGATTTTTAATTATTAATTGTTCCAATAACTGATTATTAATTTATTAGAATTACTGATTATTCCAGATGCAAATATGTACATGTGTATAAATACACACATATAAAACATGAAGCAGGGTCTTAATAATTAAAATAAAATCAATGTATTAAGTCATTCAGGAAGTTCCATATTGTTTTTTCTAACGATAAATACTAGTTAACCCCTTCGCGCCGACTGTCACGTATACGTGCCAGCAACGAACACACTTATCTACCGGCCGAAACGCAGGCATGCCAGAGCATTGTTGCGCTTTCTACCGACTGTCGCGTATTTTGCCATTACCTTGGAACGTTTTTCAACTATAATTTCTTTTCTGCCACAAGATGGCACTGTATGTCCATATGGTTTCACGATACATGTACATTAGAGACCTTCTACTCGAAATGAGAGAAGCATGACTCACATACACGTTTTTTTGATTATATAAAAATGGGGAACTAAATGTTTCCGAATGGCGTGGTTTATGACGTCTCTTTAAATCGCACTTTATTTGCACGTGGTAGTTGTTTATGTAAGTAGAAGTTTTATATGCGCTAAAGCGTTGAGTATTTTCGTTCCGTTACAGTTCAGTTTTTAGAAAATAATAGATCTTGTAGACGTGAATTCTTTCTGTTTTTACGTTTCAATGTCGAAGCGTCGAAATGTTTAACAGAGCATGAAATAGCAGAAATGATGCAAATATTTCAGATATTGATTCTGAAAATTCTGATATTGATTCTGAAAGATTAACTGAAAAAGACATTTTCCAAAACTTCAGAAGAGACTGACAAGAAAATGAGACGACGATGCTTCGTTTGTTCCATTCCAACCCGGAAAAATCCTCCCAAAACGGCAAATGAGTTTTATTACGAGTTCAAGGAATGTAACGTAGGACTGTGGTTAGATCCCTGTTTTCAAATTTTTCATACGAAAAGAGAATTTTAAGTAATATTTAGTTTTCATATTAATTTAAAGTCATAAAATGGTGAGTAATTAAAATAAAATGTGTAAAATATGCATTTAAACAAAAATAAGGTATTAAGTATATATATATAAAATATCTATAAAGCTAACCGCTTACATACCTATAGAGCATTATTAAACAATGCGTTGATACTTCGGAAATTTCATGGATTTAGGCTTAGTAGCTAAAATGCCCCCGGCCCTGGAGAGACGCTCGCGGAAGACACTGCCGGCCTCCGTAATAGCGCGTTTTCGCTACCCGGCTCGAAGGGGATAAGCAGTATGAGAAATAAAGAAAATTTCATTGAATGACATAAGCACCATTTTGTTCTATGACTTTTTATCATTTTCTTTGCATCTGCAATTCCTTGAAAAAGTTATTAGGTTTATTTATGAAGAAAATTTTGTTTGACAGTCTCCTAAGAAATCAAATCCAGACCTTTCAGAGAATTTCGAAGTTGCCTGAAAAAATACAAATCCAAGGGGGCAATGTCTGGTGAATATAAGAAAGATGGTGCAGTCAAAAGTCGTTAATTCGGACTCGTCGGGACTTCGGCGATTCCGGATTATCGATTTTTCTGGATTATAGATCATCAGTTTAAATCTCGTAAGATGGCATGCAGAAATTCTAAAATTAAAAATATGAAACTGTAATTTATGAAATACATTATGATCCAAAGGGTATCAAAATGTACAAAAAAAGCTTAATATTTATTTGTTTACTCTATTAAACATTTCTTTCAACGCACGCATACGTGAAACGTACATTACGCATAGTCGAAATTAGAAAATTGCAACCAGAAAACTATTTGATGTGTATTCGTAATGTTTATGATGACGAGGAATTTGATTTAAATCATATCAAAGACGGAGTACAACGAGATGAAATACTACATTTAGTAAGGAATTATAAGCCGAATAAAGTAAAAATATCTTCATTGAAGATAAGGTTAGTGCTGACAGATCAACTTCCAGTTCATTGCGCGCTGCGATGCCGCCCCCCATAGCAGCGTGAAATTGATAAACAGATTTTGGAATGATTAGAGAAACAAATCACCTCTCTGTTACTTTCTTCATACCTTTATCCATTTTTTGCAGCAAGTCCACTTTTTGTTTGATGGACATCGAAACATACTTTTGTTTTGTGGATCCTTTGGGAGCTCCAGCATCGGAAATTCTATTTGACATAATCGAAAGTTCAAGCTTACTTTTATAAAATTTCTCTTACAGTCTGCAAAAAATAATAAGCCGGATATAATTCAAAGATTAAGGAACAACGTAATCATCAACATTAACTGAATTAGATAATTTTAGCTTATACCGTCCGTTATACATTAAACGAGCGTGCGAGAACGTATTCTGCGCTTGTGCACACGCATGTGCGCAGTCGTAAAGGTCTTACGCGCATGCGTAAACGCCTATGTGCATGTGTCAACGCGGTGCATGCGCAGAAAGCTTTGAGGTCCAGATTACGGGTGTCCGAATTAACAACTTTTGACTGTATTTACCTATACTCAGTTAGTCTGTATCTGACATTCATCAAAATACAAAGCTGAGCATTATCATGATGGAAGACAACATCTTAACAATTGATGAGTTGTGGATACTCTGCTTTGATTTCTTCTTTTAAAACCACCATTTGAGAACAATATTTTTCCAGATGTTTAGTCTGATTTGGATTCACAGGATACTCTTTTTTTTTTTTTTTTTTTTTTTTTTCTTTCTTTCTTTCTTTGTAGATTTACCACATACAAACCATTACTTTTTGGGCCTGCAGCCCTCCTCAAGAGAGGGACTAATTCAAGAGGACCTGAGGACTAATTCCTCAAGAGACACAGTTTGAAGGCACTTTGAGAAAAGCGAAAATTTCAGCCTAGAAGATGATGCCCACTCTTAACAAACATCCTCTGTAAGCAAGGACTTAGAGAAGCTAACTCTGAAAATCCATGTTATGCAGTTAATATTCTAAATACATTAAACATAATATTCCAAATAATACACTTAAAAGTAGATATATAAGCTACAACAATGTATGAATATTCCATATTTTAACAGAGCAGAATATGCTTACTTGAGTTTCTGCATAAGATTTTTTGCTGAAAAGAAATAAAGAAATTATTTTTTTGGAATGGCTCACTGTTAATGCCTCTTCTCGAGTAGTTTACTCAAAAGACCTCCTTTCAGGATTGCAGCCCTAGAAACGTAAGTAAGCATATTCTGCTCTGTTAAAATATGGAATATTCATAGATTATTGTAGCTTATATACCTAATCTTCTTTAATGTATTATTTGGATTATTAACTATATAACGTGGATTTTCAGAGTTAGCTTCTTTTTATAAGTCCTTGCTTACAGAGGATGTTCGTTAAGAGTGGTCATCATCGTTTTCTTCTAGGCTGAAATTCTTGCTTTTCTCAAAGTGCCTTCAAATTATGTCATCAGAAACATTTTGTCCACATACAGCCGAAATTTTATGAGCAGTCTGACTGGCTTTTTTTCCTTTTTTAAAATTAATAAAGCATAATTTGACAAAAATGAACTTTTAGGTTCTTCATTTCCAGTATTGCACTGTAAATTATGCTAAACACATGATAGAATTATGCAGCGTGAGAGAAAATACTGTACTTAAAATCTGCATAGATCAAGGTTACTCCTTATCAGTAGCAAAATAATAAAACGGAAGATAACACATTTGATTTGAAAACCTGCAGACATTTTTTTATGACCCAGTAATAATATTTAGGTAAAATATTGTTACATGCTTATGGGTTTGTAATGGATTAAGTGCACACAGAACCATTAGTAACTTGGTAAAATTTATTTTCCCTAAAGAATGCTTACTTCAAAACTTACCTAATTCTGAAACTTTTCACAAAAGTACTCATATAGCTCTTCTTAGTATCGCAGAGGACAAATGTTAAACACAAGATAGTATAGAAGAGTCTGAAAAGCTTGCACAGTGATTTCTCAGTACTCTGAACTAAACTGGCTTTAAGTGTTATTCCAACTGATCTATTGCACCAAAGGGCGATATTGGCGGCTCCATGAATTTTAGTTGCTATGGCCCACAATGATGGAAAATTCTGTGCCATGGAAATGGTGCTAAGGAGAAATCTGAGTAAGAAGAATGTTAGTGGAGTAATCCATAAGGCTGCTGGTGTGGGAGAAGCAGTCAGAAGAGTAGAAAATCACATGAAACATGCACAAAATCTGACTAAACTGGCGGGTTAGCGTGACACTGAAAGGTCCAAATGTGAAAAATACAAATACATTACAATTAGTACAAAAAATTAAGAGATACGAAAATCGAAATTAACAATTGAAATTAAATTGTATATATGTAAACAAAATTATTTACATATATACAACCTCGTGAAGAAAAGACTGAGTGTAGAATCATTTTCACAGTTTGCAATTAAATGAGCTACAGGTGGTTTGATAAACTTATCTTCCTCAGGCTTCGTACGGTCCTTAAGAGTCCTTTAAAGTCCTTTTTTTGGAATCGATTTTTGGTCCTTAAAAGTCCTTAATTTTGGCCAAAATCGTCAGAAGGTCCTTAATTTTTAATCATCTGAAATTTCTGACTGTTTTTACGACTGCCATTTTGAGTGTGAATTAGCATTTTGGAGGAAATATTTTTGGTAAGTTCTCTTACAAATATCATTATCTTTTGAATGGGTGAATGCGTTCATGGGTTATAATTTGTTCCTATTTCTAATATAAAGGGTGGAATAGAGTTTCTGAGCAAGTGTGAAACATAAAGCATTCGAAATTATTTCATTTTTTCTAGTAAAGAGCTCTTAAACAACTTTTCACTTTTCGGGAAGTGAATTCTTTTATTAAATTGCTCTAAATTTGGCGACTTATCAACATTG